TTTTTTAATTATTTTATTTTATTTTATTATATTATTTGATTTTCTTTTTTTTCCTTTTTCATTATTCTTAGCAATAAAATAATTCTTTATTAAATCTAAAAATTATGTCACTCATTCTTATAAGTCATATAAATTATTTACAAAATCTACTAAAAAGGTTAATATAAAAATAATAGTTGGAATTTCTAAAATGACTAAAAGGGTCGATACAAAATTGTTGTGATGATAACAAGAAACTGATTTTTTAAAAAAATGTTTATTATAGAGAGGGGTCCACTCAATATTGGAGGCCTAAACAAAACTTAAGAGGTAAACTCAATATTTTTCTATCATATATACATTTATTTAAAATCTATTTTTCTATCTATTTTAAATAGAAGCGAAACTATCAAGTATTTTCTTTTATAATCAATTCGCTTTAATTATTCTTTTTCAAGTGATATCATAGCTAATTAATTAGTCTCTCTTGATACATTGTTGATTTTAAAGAAGATCAATTTTAATTTTGAAAAAACCTTTTTTGGTTGAGGTAACGATTACAGGAACTCTTAACATTATTCTAAAAGCAATATGTGTATTTAGAAAAGAATCAAATCTTTTTATTTGATTGATTATTTCTTAATAAGATCATTATCTTCTATATGTATTATTTCTTTAACACTTTTCATTCAAAAAATAAATCTAAATCATCAATATCAGAATAACTATTACGTGATAAAGAAAGTTCAAGGTTATGACAATATTTTTTAAATTCTCATCATCTAGTGAACTCAATATTTTACCACCAAATAAAAGATCAAAATATTTTCATATGCTTGAGTTGGTTCAAATCTATTTTGAAGTGAAAAAATAATTTGATCAATCAACTCTAAAAGTTCTTTAAGAGACTTTGTGATTTGGCTACCCATATTTTTAGCAAATTGCTTCTTACAAAATTCATGTTTATTTTCATTTCATTTACAATTTCCTAAGTAAAAATCCTAACACTCATAGTACATATACTTTTTTTTTTTAAATAACATATATAAGAAGCAACTTTCACATATAGCAAATATAAAAATTTAATTTATATGTTATAGCCATAATTTGTGTAATTACGCTTAATAGCAAATCTTATGTTTGCTATGAAACTTTTGATTTGTATAATTCGCTACAAACATCAAACTTTTTACAAATTATTCAGTTTTGTATAAATGCATTTATACATTAGAATTTATATAATTATAAGTGTGTAGGACGAAAATATATGTATTTATATATATATATATTTTTCTCTCGCTTTTTACAAATATAAACTCAATTTATACCAAAATAAATAAAATGACTAATTGTATAGCAAATTATATGACAAAAGAATGAAATGCTTACTACGAATTATAATTAAAATAAACTATAACTATAGTATTTAATCTTGAATTAATAGTTTACTACTTTGTGCTATAATTCTTTCTGTAAATAATTATTTCTTTAAAAAGAAAATCTAAAATATATGAGGCTATGACGATGACCTAACCATACATGCCATCACAAGAATGAAGGAAGCATCTTACGTGTAAGTCAATAGTCAATATCAACTTTTTTGTTTTGGTTTATTCATTTTACTTTACTTAAAACAATTAATTTTTAAATTTAAATATATATTTGATATTTTTTAAAATAATATAAATATGTTATGTAAATAAAAATTATTAAATTCAAGTGAACACTTACGTTCTGGATTCTCACACTTAGTAACACTGACACTATGAACATGTGGGAAATTGGCAAGCCTTTTTTGTCTAATTATGTTAGGCTCAATGAGATTTCAAATGGAGTGTATATGTATACAGTGTGTGTATTCATTGCATATAATAAAATTTAGGCTACTAAAACATCAAGTCATACACAAATTTCATTAATCATTAAAAGAAATCATGGACTTCAACTTTTTAAAAGTTTCATTTGACTACCATTATTACGATAGTGAAAGACGTTGCAGAAAATTGGCACAATTAACTGAATATGTATTAATTGATGGAGACAAAACAACTTGGTATAAGATCTACCCAAAATTTGACCTTTTTTCGAGAGTGAAACGTCAAAAACATATTCAAAATTAAGTTTCATATCTAAGCTATTGATGGTGTGATTTTCATATCTAATCATGTTGAACGGAGCATTTTTCTTCTGAATCACATCTAAGTATAATTTCCGGCACGCTTAGCTTCCCCAAAAGGACGTGACATTTTATTTGGTTGGGAAAATAGTTGGTAAATAATAATTATAGCTTTCTCCAAATAGATTATAGTCTATATAGACAGCAAATATTCAAGTTGAATCTTCACATTCCAGCTTGTTATGAGCTATAATGCCTATTTCAGATCTTACATCTAAATATCTAATATATGTTTGATTTAAATGAACTTCGTATAATCATATTTTAGATCTTACCTCAAAATATATCAACGTTTGTGTTTTATAATCGAAAGATTATTCTATTTTTTATCATTTCATATACAAAGTCACTCAAATGACTTACTTAACATGGTATACAATATTTTTGCCGTTATCAAAATCACCCTTCACCTTGGTTTTGCCTGAGGTTAATTCATAAATGTTAGCATTTCCCAATAAATTAGGGTCATATATGCTTAAATGGCCTAACATAATAAATGTGATTTAAGTTGTGCATGGAGGCTATATATTTTTATTAATAATCATAGATTAAATAAATATTCAAGTTCCAAATTCATAGTGTATATGTTGAAAGTCAAGATATATATTTGTATGACTAATCTCATGATGATGTATACAAAATGACATAATATTTATTACGTAGGTATACAACATTTATTCATAGATTGCTCCTGTTGGGCCCTAGATAGCTACAATAATATGGACATTTTGTTCACATCGCTCTTTCCTTTAATATATCTCCTATATATAAATTGAGAACGTATGCTTCAAACTTTACAAGATGAATCGATGATCATCGATTTATATCATATATCATATCGTATCGTAAAAATACAACAAATCAAATGGAAAACACTAGTCCAGAAAAGCTAGACAGGAAAACACAAGAAAAGAACAGAAGAATTCAAATGAAGTATCTTTCTTCTAAGCTCTTTTCTCTTATTCCTCCACACCACCACCAATACTCAGCTAAGGTATGAACCATGTTTCAGTAATTAACTTTGATTCAAACTCAGTATTTATTTATTTTTTAAAAAAATTATTAAATATGTACAAATATTTTGACGTACTTTTCCTTGACTTGTAAGTGTAACAATATAATTTCAGGATATGGTGACGCAACAAGACCAAATTGATCAAGCCATTACTTACATTGAAAAATTGAAAGAAAGAGTAGATGTATTAATGAGAAGGAAGGATAAGATTATAGCACAAGGTACAAGTGATGATTCAAAGAAATTCATGCCTTCAACATCTTGTAGCAATATTAAATTACCTATGATTGAAGTTAGAGAGTTGGGTTCAACTATAGAGGTTATTTTAGTTAGTTGCTTGCAAAAAAAGTTCACCATGCAAGAGGTGATAATCATCTTAGAGGAAGAAGGAGTTCAAGTTGTTACCGCTAATTTTTCAACAATCGGCGATAAGGTTTACTATACTATTCATGCTCAGGTAATTCATGTTTTAATTTACGTGTCTTACAATTTTTTTTTAGGTCTATTTATATATAAAAAAAATAGAATTTTTTTAATATGGTTTTAACAAATACCGTGCTAGTTAATTTTGACAACTAAATTAACAATGTTTTTGTTGTAATATAATGTTTGCAGGTGAAAATTACGAGATTAGGGGTTGATGCATCAAGGGTCTATTTGAGATTGCAAAATCTGATTTGCTAATTTTTTAATTACTTACCAGCGGAATCAAAAAGGTTTTAGAAAAATAACTTTAGACTATTGTATTTATACACATTTCTATTATTTTGTTGGTTATTCAAGTTTGCATTCTTATTGTATTAGAAATTTTTTATAAGAATCAACAAAGGGTCATGATAAAGTGACAATTAAATATTTCGTCTATCATTAATTAGAAATCTCAATTTCATCTTTTACTCTTGAGCATATTTTCATCATTAGATCTAGGAGAATTAATATGAATCACTCCTTTACTATATTTTCATCATTAGATCTAGGAGAATTAATATGAATCACTCCTTTACTATTTTAGCAAGTATTATTTAATTTTTTTATTTGATATTTTCATTCATCACTTCATTGACAATATTTAAAGATTTAATATATTGCTATTAAACCTTAGTCAAATAAATTCAACGTCAAGACCTAATAATCAAGTTTTAAACTAAGTACTTATAAGGGTGAATAAATAATAATGTTAGGATTCAAAATATAATAGCTGATCAAGCACCCGTAAACATGAATGTGCATCAGCCATTTATTTTGATAAGAGATATAGGCCATATATCCCACTCTTTTATAAGTGATCTTAGTAATAAATACTGAGTTCTTGCTATGAAAAAAAACAAAAACTAAACATTTATGATGTACATAGTATATAGAAATCACTACTGCTCAAAAACTAAATTGTTTTGGACTAATTTTTTTTTTAATATTAAGATTGTTTTAAAGAGAGAATTTATTTTGAACATTTATTATAAAAAATTTTAATCAGTATTTTACTTAATCAAGTTAAAATATACATATTCAATTTTCCAATTAATATTATTATAAATAGATATATAAATAAATTAAATATTGATATACATGATGATTTAAAAATAATTAAAAAATATCAAATATAAAAAAAATAAAAAAGAATATTATCTAAAAATAAAATTCTTAAATGAAACGTAGCTGAACCTACTAGATATGCTAATCAATTAATAATGTTTTATTGGTATATATTTAAAATATGATAAGGATATTTTAATAATCTAGAAAAAGTATATGTCTGCTTTTTTTTAAAAAAAAAGTCTTTTAGCTTATTTCCCAGGACAGAAAAATTGTTGTTACTTCTATTTAAATAAAAGAAGTTTTATTGAATTACTAAATGTCTTAATTTTTCAAAAAGAAAAAAAAATTCAAAATAAATATTTTAGATCAGCAAAAGAAAAAGAAAGTGTGTGACTAGACAATGCTTTATTTATTTTTTAAATGTTAATATTGCTCATTTAAAAAATTATTGATATCCCTTTTATATAAATCCTTTTTGTTGTTTAGTCATTTTCTTTTATTCAAAGATAATTGGCCCAAAATTACAGAGACCAAAAGCCGCAAGCAAACAGAGTATTGTTTTTCTCTGATTTTGAACGTGGTGGGGGAACCACCGATGTTTTATGATGACTATAAAAAGAAGGCATAAAATATAAATATATTTTTTAATTTATTTCTATAATTTTAAAAATATTTAAAATAATTTTGTGAAATAATTTAAATTAACTTATATATGGGAGTGAAGGTAGTATATAATGAGGGGTTTCATCCGTATATTTACTTTTCAAATTTGATTATTAAAATCAGGCTAAAATATTTAAATAATTTCCATAAAATATATTTGAATTGATTTATGTATATCACGTAAGATAGATATTTAATTAGTTGTTCAATTTTATAGCAATTTAAAAGTGTACATAGATGTCAATTGAAATAAAAGATTTAACCTTTTTTTATATGATGTTAAGCAGTTTATGAGCTTACGTTTAAGACATTCTAATTTTAGTTAAATTTCTCATGTTATATATCATTCACTTTTTAAATATCAAAGCTTTGAACGTGTAAATTTTCACATCATCAACTAGGAACGAATATTCTTTTATTTATATAGTGTTAGTTTGATTCACATTTTTTATAATAAAATTTATTTTAAATAGATGATATATTGATATAATAATTAGAGATAAATCCAGAATTTGAAGAGAGGGAGAACACCACTAAGAGTGGCACAAGAGTAAGGCTAGGAGTGATTTAAAAGTAAGGTTCACGAAGAGTAAGATTTTAATTATTTACTGAAGAACACTTCTAAGTTGTAAATTTTTTGATCGTCTTATATTTTGATTAAAATTGTATTACAATTTTCATTTGTTTTTAATTTCAATTAAGACAAAAAATGGGGTCAGACGAGAATGGGGTTAGATGAGGTGGCAAAAAAAGGATGGTTAAGAAAGGGGATAGGGCTGATGAGGTGATAAAAACGAGTTTTAATAAATAAATAATTTTTAAAAAAGATTATTTTTTTAAATTACAAAAAAATTACCTTCACAGAATTCAAATCTACACGGTCACGACCCAAACAGAAGACTTTGACTGGTGCATCCAAACGTCTTTTAGTTATAAAAATACATATTTTTTCCTTACCTGTATCACTATTTTATCAATCATTTCTCTTTCTATATATATACGATTATTTTAAAAATTACAAAATACATGTGATAATAATAGACGGCTCCTCCTTTTAAATTGCACATGTGCAAATTGAGACATGTGAATCTCAAATTTTGAATAAGACTAGAATTTTTCTCGAAGCCACGTTAAGGAATTAGACTCTTTTTTTTTTTTTAATTTTACAAAAAATTAAATATGGAATGAGACTGGAATGGCATCTTCTGTTTTCCACTATCCATCCTTATTTTGTTGTCGAATCTCAAAACCACTTGATTTAGTGTGAATTCGAAGAGTCCTATATCTAGAGTCGGCATCAAAAGATAGTGATAGGTTCGTGTATCTATTATTTTTCTATTTTATTTATAATAACATTACATATATATATATATATATATATATTATTGATTTTAGTTGAATTTGTTGCATTTAGCACCTTTAAATTTTTTTAATGTTTGTTCACTTCTTTTTTTTGGCAAAATAATAAATGATTCATTTTAGAAAAAATTACGAGGCAAAAACCTGGCTCGAGTTGTCAATTGAATTTCTATTTTTGTGACTTTACCAATTAAACGTATAAAGTAAATGAAACTCAAAATCTCACTAACTATGACCAAACTTATGGGAAATTAAAAATAATTGAGTTGAACAGAGTGTGTGACCACACACTTTAAGAAGCAAGTAAATACTTGCAACCTCTCTTCTGTGTGTCAAAATTTTTAAATTAGAACATTGAAAGTGTGTCATAGTGAATAGTGAAGGATTATAAAATACTTTATTAATAAGCTTGAAGAACAATAAATGAGTTTTTATAGTTTCGTGGTTAAATTAATTTAAATGTGATTGGCTTTTATTGTGTTTGTGAGTTTATGGTTGGAAATTCAAATTAAATAGCAAAGGATTGTAGTTATTTACAATGAATTTGGTACTCAATTTGTGAAAAGATACGGAGAATTGTCAAAGGAACAGGTCCAACGCAACTGACTGATGTGTCTTTCCGCAAGTGTTTTGGTGAAATTTTTTGGAAGTGACCTTTTAATTTAATTTATTTTTCAATATTTAATTCCTACTTGACAATTAACAATGATATAGGGATTTGATGTGCAATGGTTGTATGAGTTTAATTATTTAAATGTTCAGTTAGTAAGTAGTGATATAGTTTACAATATTATACTGACCTTTCTTGTTTATTTTCATTTTTAAAAAAATAGTCCTTTAAACCTATTTACTAGTAGTAATATAAAAGAACTACAATTTGATCAATTTTTTTCTTACTAATATTAATTTTTGTTTGGAATAGTTAATAATTTTATTATAATGCTTTCTAATGACAAAAGATATTCATTTTTCAAAAAACTTTTAACTTGTACACAAATATAATTGGCTGTCTTTCCTAAAGCCATCTGAATTAAAAATGGAAAAACTAAATCCATAATTGTCAATTTTGGCAAGAAAACCAAAAAGCTATCAAACTTTTTCTTGTAATTAAAGTAGTCATTAGTCAAATCATTACAATTTTGTGGTGTCTTATACGTAGATAATCATATCTTTCCACCATAAAGGTCTTCTTTGAATTCAAATAAATTATAAAGAAGAACGTGGGGGAGAAATTAACCAAAATATAACAAGCGGAAAAGAAGAGGACTCAATTATTTGTATGTCATTTTTATTACATTACTATTATTTGTTTTTCAATATTGTCCTAGTGGAAAATTTTAAAAAGTATGACTTCGCAGCAAAATAATCATAGAGGTTAAAGTGAGAAACATATCGTAAAATAATAAGACATGATGCAAATGGCAAAACAATATACTTTATCTCAATTTATGACAT